CTTGCAAGTCATGTATACTTGAGAACGAGATTTCCATGTTTAGTCAGCTTCCTCCGCCTACAAGCCCCCATTACTTGATACGTCGGCTCAGAAATTCGGCTCCATCATCCGTCGGTCGCCGACAAGTGGTTGCATCGACCTGTTGTGGTGGTAGAGGGGGTAAAAAGTAAGGGGGGAAAAGGGTGGCAGTCTTCCAGAGAATTTCTTGGGGAGGGTGGAAGTGGTAGAGGGGGCTGCGCAAGCAGAAAAGCGAGCGTAAGCGAGCATTTGATGCTTGTATTAATCACGGTAAAACTGTTGGCCGTTGCGGCCGTTGCGGCGAGACTACACATCAGTTATCTCAGCAAGCTCAGACGCTTCTCCAGATATTTATTGCTGTTTTAACACTGGATTGATGATTATGTCATGAGCTAATCTCAAATAAGCAATAAGCTAACCCAAATAGTAAAATCAGATCATGTGAGTGATGATATCTTATAAAGCATCTGAGAAGAAACAGTTTCTGATTATTAGTAATATAAAAAGAATTTACTCAGTACTCTGAGTATAAAAGAGAATTTTAACTTAACTTTATAAATTCATCATTTCTGTATTATTTTAAAATCTTAGAATAACAATGTTCTTACAATGTATCTGATTTTTATATTCATATCTTAAGTTCTTAGAATAGAAGTATCATCTCAAAGTTAATCAGTATGTTTTTAAATACAGAAATTTTGATTCAATTTCTTATATAAAAAAAAGCTCTTAGGAATTCTGAGATTAAAATATATGATTATTTTCAAGAGTATATATCTATCTTAAATATAGATTTTTTTAAAATATTAAAGAAATATTTCTATTTTCCTTCTCTTTAGCTATAAGCTAAGGTGATTTTCAAATCTCAAAGATATATAAGTATATAATAATAGAAAGTCAAAGTTAAAGAATTTGAAAAATTCTTATAAATCTTGAAAATCTTTATTGAAGATAAAACTGTTTCTTCTCAGACTCTCTGACAAGAATTACTCTGAGCACATGACTTGTATCAAAAGTAGATTAGTGTCATATCAGATTAGTCTGCAACCTGTTCAAACTGAGTCAGAGATCTGAGCCCGCTGAGATAACTGTAGGCTACTGAGGTAAAAGAGCTCAATCATCATCAGCACACTGCTGATAGAAGGGCTGATCAATCACAGGACTCTCAACACCCTCTCTCAGACCAGCTATCACAGAGTACAGTACTTTCTCTCAGTGACTCTCTTCAGTAATCTTCTCACAATAACTTCTTTTAATAATGAACTGAATTACTCAGTTCTAGAGCTCATAAGACTTCTAGAGCATACTTCTGAGATGTCTCTTGACACTGTTAAAATATTCAGAGTATTTGTTAGGAATTTTTAAGTTCATTCTGGGATCAAACTCATGCATGTTGACCACAGCAGGGCTCACGCTTAACAGTCTCATAACCTGTAGACTACTGGGGCAAAAGAGCTCAATCATCATCAGCGCACTGCTGATAGAAGAGTCAATCAACCGCGGAACTCTCAATAATAACACATCAGCTGACTCATCATAAAGGTCAGCTGACCGCGCTAGCTCAGTCACCATCAGCGCACTGCTGGTAGAAGAGCCGATCATCTCGGGACTCTTAACTAGACTTGTGTGACCGTGTCTGAGATCAGAAACTAGAATTTTTGATAGTCTCATTATCAATCAACTGATCTCATTACATAATCTTAATATTAGATAGTGTCTCTGTAGAATAGTTGAAGATTGTATTAATAGATCTATCTATAAGAACATAATATAGTGATGAGTCACGTGATCTAGTGAGATTGCTAACCGTAACAGCTGTAACAGCTTATCTCAGCAGGCTCAGACTCTCTGACTCAGTTTGAACAGATTGCAGTATTATTATTAACTAATCCGGCATGATACTAATCTACTTTTGATACAAGTTATGTACTCAGAGTAAATTCTTATCAGAGAGTCTGAGAAGAAACAGTTTCATTTTCAATAAAGATTTTCAAGATTTACAAGAATTTTTCAGATTCTTTAACTTTGACTTTCTATTACTATATACTTATATATCTTTGAGATTTAAAAATTATCTTAGCTTATAGTTAAAGAGAAGAAGAATAGAAATATTTCTTTAATATTTTAAAAAAAATCTATATTTAAGATAGATGTATACTCTTGAAAATAATTATATTTTTTAATCTCAGAATTTCTAAGAGCTTTTTTTTATATAAGAAATTGAATTAAAATTTCTGTGTTTAAAAATACACTGATTAACTTTGAGATAATACTTCTATTCTAAGTACTTAAGATATGAATATAAAAATCAGATATATTATAAGAACATTATTATTCTAAGATTCTAAAATAATACAGAAATAATAAATCTATGAAGTTAAGTTAAAATTCTTCTTTATACTCAGAGTACTAAGTAAATTCTTCTTATATTACTAATAATCAGAAACTGTTTCTTCTCAGATACTTTGTAAGATATTATTACTTATATAATCTGATTTTACTATTTAAGTTAGCTTATTGCTTATTTGAGATTAGCTCATAACATAATCATCAATTCAGTGTTAAAATAGTGTAAAAAAGAGTTTAAAATTAAGCAGATCTATTTAAAAAACAGTGTTCTGATCTTTCATAAAGAGAAAGATAAAAGAATCTTGTTTAAACAAGTGAAATGAAAGCAGGCAGAAACAAAAGAAGAGTATACATTATTCAAGATTTGAGACAAAATCAAAGTGGAAATCTTATTCAATTAAATGTAAAAAGAAAATATTCTCATCTATAATTCAGCTGAAACTAGAACATGATTATTTCAAATCTTATATACAAAGATTTGATGATAGATTTGATTCAACAGAGTGCTCATTCTGCAATGTGAATGAAAATTCTGAGTATATTGTAATGCATTGTGTATTATACAATAGTCTCAGAGTCAGATTCAAGAAAAAGTATGATTTAAATCAATTAAATATGAGATTCTTATTCTCAACTGAGATAGAAACTAAATACTTAATAGACTTTCTATCAGAAACTAGAGCAGCTACAAGAAAATGACTGAATTCAGAAGTATCTGAATATGAAGAGATGAAAATTGACTAGATATAGTCTGTTAAAACAGCTATACATCATCTTTTAATAATTTTGTTTTGTTATAGTCTCTCTTTACTGTACTTGTTTTCTTCTGTTCTTTTCTCTATCTATTTAATATGTCTATCTTTAAGACTATGTTCTCTTTTCTTTTGTCATAATATTTTCAAATGGTTTTGAACTATCAGAAGATGTTGAAATACTGCAATTTGTAAACAGTTTTTGTATTCTGAGCTGGAATTTTCTGATTTTGCATATTTGAAATTGATAAATGTATAATAGTTGACTCTATAGATATAGGAAAAACCCTGAGAACTAAAGATTCTCAGGTAGATGTCATAGTCTCTGACTGTATACATCTATAATTGAAGAATAATAATAATAATAAGTGTTAAAATAGTAATAAATATCTGAAGAAGTGTCTGAGCTTGCTGAGATAAGTAACAGTCAACACTCTCTCTCAAGAAAACAAGAATCACATACAAAAACACTCAAATTATCAAGATAGTCTGTCAAAATCAAATATAAATGTAAAATTAAATATTCTCAACTTTTACACCTGTAAGATCTAGTAAAATCATGAATTATATAAATGTTACTGTAAGAATAAGTGCTTACAGATAATTATTCAGATGTTTATAGCTTGATGTAATATATACTATTAATTACTAGAAGTATTTATAATAAAAAGATAAAATATAGAGATTAAATGTATAATAGTATTCAAGCTGAGTTATAAATAGTATTCATAAACTTCAGTCTATATAGTTATATATAGTCAAGAGCTGCTAACTCTATTAATTATATAAGAGATAGAAATAGAGATAAAGAATCTGTAAAAAGTGAGATTTCTTATATACTTCTCTCTCTATAAGACTTTATCTATGAAGTCTTTCACTGAGAAACTTTATAGAATCAGCTCAGTACTACAGTGATACTCATTAAAAATTCTTTATATCTATAAAAAAATCTCAGTGAGGAAAAATTTCTTATTACTGTAAAGAGAAAAGAGTCTATTACTTAGTTTTATATTTTATAAAATTCTTTATAATCTACAGATTCTTCTCTGACTACTATATGAATTTATCTTACATCTTTTATACAGAAGAGTTTTAGTTAACTTTCAATCATTTTTATAAGATTCTTATATAATTATTATATAGATTTATCTTATAGATAAATCACTCTCTGTAAGATTACTCTTATTAAAGAGAAGTATTTATAAGTTAATCTTTGACTTATTCTTATAAATTATTATTCTTTAATACTATAGAATTATGAGAAATTTTTCATTCTTTTATTAACTCTGTAGAATTGTAGAATCAAGATATTCACAGTCTATAATCACTTTTTATAATTATATAGAAAGATTCAGATCTGTAATTCATAATTATTTTTCATTTATTAAAGTAATGTAACTGTTCTATAGAATTACTCACAGTGTAAATAAATCTCTTTAAAGTAGTATAAATATCTCAGATCTATCTGTAGAATCTTATCTTCTTTTCTCTTTTTCTATAAGAGCTTTCATTCTTATAAACTATAAATATTCTCATTTATTCATAAAGTGTTTTCACTCAGATAACAGAGAGAGAGTATTTCTGATAATATTTATATATTAATTCAGGAACTTTTCAAGAATAAATTTTTTTTTTTAATTTTAATATCTTTATAAATAATATCTGATCACTGCTGAGCTTCTTATAAGTATTTTCATAACTTCTTTAATTACTTTTTATCAGCTAATAAAGTAGAGATATTACTGCTTATAACAGTGTTTTTATTCTCTTCAGTCTTATCACTGTATCTGATCTTCAGACTAGCAGTTAATCACATATCTCTCTTAGATCAGTTTCTGACTTTAAGTAGCACAGTTCTACTCTTTACTATAAGTCTCTCTATAAGTAAATTCTTATAAATTCTAGCTAATAGTTCTTATAAATCTCTTAGTATTATTAGTATCTTCTACAGTCTCACAGATCTATAATCACTCTCTCTCTACTTATATAATTTCTGATCAGATATATATAAATATGTCTAGATTCTCTATCAATGATTCTTATACTGCAGCACATTTTCATAATCTTATTATTAATAAGAGATAAGTTCTCAGACATGTGTAAAATTCAGATAATTAAGACAATATAAATATTATGAATTTGTGATAGAAGTTAATCTGAGTAGATGAGCTATCTCTTTATATCTTAATTATTTCTGAGCTGAATACTTCAGTATAACTGAGAAAGTGAATACAGCTTTATAAGAAATATCTGATTATATATATAGATAATCAGTTTTTAAGACTCTGTTATAACTGTATATACTCTGATATCTCACTTCTTTAAAGTCTGTGCATTTCTGACAGTTTTTATACTAAATATAATAATTATCTGTACTGTGAGTATAATACTCTTTACTTCTTTGAAGAGAGAAATTAATAGTTATAAAGAGATTAAGTATTATAAGTATTAGAAATATAAGTATGAATTTTCTTTATTTTTTCTTTATTAATCTCTAAATTGTGTTTACAGTTCTGTTTCTATTTTCTTATTTTTTAGTTTTAATAAGAATATAATTTCTTCTTCTCTTTATATACACTGTAAACTATTCATCTCAGTAGAAACTCATCATCTTATAGACTAAAGTTTATAAATAACAGTATTAATATCTTTATTATAATCAGATTCTTAGCAAAGACTGTGTCATTCTAGCTTATCAGAATTTATAGTATAAAAGTTATATTTCAGCTTTCACAGATATCTTATCTAATCAGATAATTCTCAAGTGAACTTATTTATCTTATCAGAATATTCTTATCACTGAATCTTAAATCAGAGCTTATAATCTCACTTCTCTGAGTTAATAATCTCTTTAATCTAATATTCTCTTTCACTCTCTAGTACTTTATAAATAGAGTGATAAATCACAGAGTTCTCTTCTAAGAATTTCTTATATTCATAGAGTAAAGAGATATAAAAAATATTATATATCTATAACTTAGATAATAGTTTTAATCTATAGAACTATAAACTAACTTTCTTTATAATCTTATAAGACTCTGTTTATAAGAGATTCAGCTTCTTACTAGATCTTTATATAATAATATTTTCTAAACTCAGTCAGACTCTATCATCTTTCTTGAAACTTTTTATAATATACATAAAGTTATAGTATCTCTTCTGATACTCTTGAGTCTTTCTCAAGAATTCACAGACTTTCTTTCAGATATTCTGAATTCACTTAACTTATTCATGAGTATTATTATACTCTATAGTATACTCTCACAGATTTATCAAGATTACCTGTGAATAAGTCTCAGTGAGTATCTCAAAGAGAGTTTTATCTATACTGATATATTTTAAGTTATTATATATAAACTTTATAAATGATAATCAATGTATTTAGTTATTCTGATTATAATGAATAAAGTACTGCAGATACTGTTTTAATATACTTATTAGATATTCTATCTAATTATCTGTCTATTGATAAAAAGCTGTACTTAGATCTCATAAGATCTT